TGGTATAATCTCTTTCTTAAATGTCTGGTAGAATTTACCAGTGAACTTATCTGGGCTTGGTGCTTTCTCTTTTGGAATAGTTGATTCAATTTCTTTATTATTACAGGCCTGTTGAGATTATCTATTTGTCCTTCTGTGAATTTTGATAGATATGCCTTTCAAGAAATTTGGCAGTGTCATCTAGTTTATCAAATTTGTGGGCATAGAGTTGTTAATAATAATTCTTTATTATCCTTTCTTGGGATCACTAGTCATAGTTCCTCTGTCATCGCTGATATTTCTATTTGCATCTTCTTTTGCTTCCTTAGGTAACTTGACTAAAAGTTTAATTTTATTTTTAATAAATATGATAATAAATATATTTATTTATATAAAAATAATAGTAAACATAAACAATAATTTTATTATACTTTTCAAAAAACTAGCTTAGGTGATTGATTTCAGATTTTCTTGCTTTTGGTTATGAATTTAAGTCTATAAAATTTCCCTCTAAGCACTGCTTCACTACATCCCACAAATTTTAATTAATTGTACTCTTATTTTCATTTAATTTGAAATAGTTTTTTCTTGTGATTTCTTCTTTAATCCATGTGTTACTAAGAAGTGTGTTATATAATCTCCAAGTATTTTTGGGTTTCCTATATATCTCCCTGTTACTGTTTTCTAGTTAAATTCCATTGTGACCTGAGAGCATATACAGTATGATTTCTGTTCTTTCAGATTTGCTACAGTGTACTTGATGGCTTAGAATGTTGTCAGTCTTTGTGAGTGTTCCCTGTGAAATTGAGAGTGCTGTGTCTTCTGTTGTTGCTGCATGAAGTATTCTATAAATGTAAAGTTGATGGTCGCTGTTCAGTTCAGCTATGCCCTTACTGATTTGCTGCCTCCTGATTGTCAATTAATGACAGAGGGATGTTGAGTGGATTCATCTGTTTCTCCTTGCACTTCTTCCAGTTACTGTCTCAAGCATTTGACATTGTGGTATTAGGTGCATACACATGCAAGACTGTTGTGTCTTCTTAGGGAATTTACCACTCTCTTCATTTTATAATGAACTATTGTCCCTGATAATTTTCCTTTCTCTGAAATTTTCTCTGTCGAAAGTTAATACAGCTTTTCTGGCTTTCTTTTCATTAATATTAATGTGGTATATTTTTATTCCTTTTACTTTTAATCTATCTGTGTCCTTATATTTAACTCCAGTTTCTTATAGGCAACATATAGTTGGGTCTTTTTTGTTTTTTAATCCACTATACCAGTCTCTTTAATTGGTATATTTAGAAAACTATCATTTAAAGTGATTACTGGTATTCAGATTAATATCTAGCATATATGTTTCTCTTTTATACTTGTTGACCTTGCTTTTTTTTTTTTAACCCCCTTTGGGTTTTTTTGTTTTGTTTTTGTTTTGCTTTGTTTGGTTCTCTACTCTTTTTTTTTTTTTTACCTTTGTTTTAATTGTTTTGTATGATTCCTTTTCTTCTTCTTTCATAGCATATCAGTTATACTTCTTTTTAAACTTCATTTTTCTAATTTTGGGCCCATGAATTTGCAGTATGCATTTATAAGTAACCCAGGTCCACTTGCAAAGAACACTATGCCACTTCATGTGTAGTGCAAGAACATTATAAACAGTATTTTCAGGCCCTCCTTTCTGTCCTTATAGCATGCTGCTGTTCATTTATTTCACTTACCCCACAACTAAAATCAGTGAATACATTCTTGCTGCTATTATTTTGAACAATCTGTTACCTATTAGATCAATTAATAATAAAAATAGAATATTTTATTTCTTAATTTATTCTTCTCCAATATTTTTATGTAGATTATATTTTCTGACTGATATCATTTTCCTTCTCTCTAAAGAATTTATTTTAACTTTACTTGCAAGGCAGTAGAACTAATGAAAAATTGTTTTAACTCATATTTGTCTGAGAAAACCTTTATTCTTTATTTTGATGGGTAATTTTATTGGGTATAGAATTCCAGGTTGGAGTCTCTATCTTTTTTTTTTTCTTTCTCTTTCAGAACTTCCAACATTTTTATTTCACTCTCTTTTTGTTTGCATGGTTTCTAAAGAGAAGTCTGATATAATTCCTATCCCTGCTTCTAAGTAAGGTATTTGCCCCCACCCCACCCCAACCCCAACCCCCTGTGGCTTCAAGATTTTCTCCTTGTCTTTGATTCTCTGCAATCATATGCCAAGGTGTACATAAATGTTTGGTGTTCACAAATCTTCTGGAATCTGTGGTTTGTTTTTTATCATTAATTTTGGAAAATTATCATTCATTATCACTTTAAATATTTCTTCTGTTATTTTGTTTCTCCTGATATTTACCTTATATTACACCTTTTGGAAGCATTTCACAGTTCTTGGACATTCTGTTCCTTTTTTTTTTTTTTTTTTTTTCAGTCTTCTTTTTTTCCTTTGTATTTCAGATTTAGTAGTTTCAATTGACATATCTTCCACCTCACTCATGCTTTCCTCTCCTATGTCCAGTCTATTGATGAGCCCTTCAAAGGTGTGTTTCATTTCTGTTAGAGTGTTTTTGTTTATTTCTAGCATTTACTTTTGAGCATTTCTTAGAGTTCCCATCTCTCTGTTTATACTGTCCACCCATTCTTGCATATTGTCTACTTTTTATGTTTTTGAAAAATAATAATGAAAAATATTTTGCTGACAGTTATCACAAAAATTTTCTGTGAAGACAGAGAATATTATTTTCACTGAAAGGCAGAAATAAACAATATTAACCTTTTGTAGGTTTCTCACTTGCCAAAAAAACAAAACAAAACAAACAAAAAAACCCCAGCATTATATGGAGCCCTTAAATGGTCCTTCTATTTTTACCATTGGCCATTGTGGCTACAGAAACCCTGACATAGCAATTACTCAGTTTAATGCACTGATAGTATTATAAATACATGTCACAATTGAAACAATCCATGAGATTGTCAAAAAGTTTCATTGGAGTTAAGTAGTGAATTAGTGAAGTTGAACAGAATGAATATGGACTGTAGTAGGGTGAAATATTGGGTACCATAGCTTGAAGTCTATTAGAGTTAATGCTCATGATGGGGCACAGCAGGAGGGAGAACAGGCAGGGGATGTCATGGTGGATTCAGGAGAAGCATAGTAAAAGGAGCATGGAATTTGGCAAGAGCATGCTAGCTTAATTGAAGATTAAGATGACTGAAAGAGAAAAATGAAATGAAAAACAATAAAAAAAATTAATAAAATACATTTATACTAAGGTTTTGAAAAAAAGCAAAAAGTGTTGGGTATGTCTTCATGTAATTTGGTTTTCTGAATTGGTTTTTGTAGAAAAGGTTATAAAATAAAGCCATCCCCTTTTAAATCTTTAAGTTGTAACTCAGGATTTATGAAGGAAAAAAAGAGATACTTCAACATAGTTTGACTTTATAAAGTTGTCCTTTTATCACATTGAATTGGAAGCTTCTTAGCTTTTTAATTTTTTGAAAATGGAGGAAATTTGTATTTATTTGAGAGATAGGTACCCACCAGATCTTAGAGCTTTGGGATGAATGTTTGCTTATGTTGAGACTGGAAACACTCTGTTGACCCAAATTCCCTTCATACTGACTTTTAGTTAATTTCATCTATTGAGGAATCAATGTAAAAAGGGCTTTTGCTTACAAAATGTGTGCTTTTTCCTACCATTAATGTTAAATCTCACTTTTCAGGTTTACAAATTTGGGGCAAGTTTTTCTATTTTTCTTTCTCTATGATCATCTTGATGTGTTTTTAATTTTTTTTTAACGTCCATTAATAGCTGGATTCCTGACTTAGACTTTTTGTAACAGTGAACATTACAGTTGTAGTTGTAGTTGTACGGTAACGTTGTAGTTGCTAACTACAGTTAGCAGCATGCTAATTTCTGGCTCTAGATAATTTGGTGGCTCTGGCTCTTAGGAGTATTTCTGGAGTGCCATACAATATCATATCATTACATGCAACAGAATGAGTGGTGTTATTTTCTCCTGATAGTATAAAATATGAATGAACTTTTGAAGGATAAATTATCTTTAGATAAATTTTGATACCAAGAAAAAAAGTGAGAAAGTAGGATTTTTTAGTAGGAAGAAATGTTATTAGACAAAAACACTGTTGCAATAGAAGAAAATTACTATTATATGTTTTCTTTTCTCTGAGTCATATTTTTCCCATATGAAAGAAAGCATTGTATAAGTGATTGCTAACATACATTACTATATGTGTGTGTGTATGTGTGTGTATAACTATCATTTCTAGGGAAATGATAACTGAAAGTTAGATACAGAAAGGTAGTATAGAAAAATACATTTACAACCTTGCTTGTTTTTGTTGTTTAAAATACAGATTTTTTTTTTGAAGTTCATTAGGAAATGACATTTTTTGTTTTGTTTTGAATTTCTTTTTACTGTTCAAAAAGATTATTGGAACTTTGGCCTGGTGATTGGTTTCAAAGCTAACTTTATTGCTATTTCACTTTTATGTGTTGAATCTGTTAGTTCTTGCATTTGAAAAGTCCTGGGTATTGATGTTAGTTAATTCAGGAAGATACCCTGTTTGTCAGAATAGTAAGTGCGTTCTGCACATTACTTTGGCTTTCAAAATGACTTGTATATGGTCATGTTCACTTACGATATGTGTTCTCTTCTATTGAAACAGCCTTGGGGAAATGTGGTCCTTCAGCGTGAGAGATTCTAGTTTTATAGCTTTCCAACTCTTTTAGATTCTTAAGATAGTTACAGGTTTTGGCCATGCCTACCATGATACACAGAAATTGACATGAAAAAAACAAACAAAGGTCTGACTGCTTAAAGAAAAAATAACTCACTCTCTAACCCCAATTTGTACAGATAGGAAGCATTATAGCCAAGGTGTCGTGCTGTCCCATTGCCAGACTCCATTCTTCCATTAACAACCAGGATGCCCATATATCTCTAACATCCAAACCATAAAGAGTTGCCTTTTCTTTTTTTGTCCCCATTATTAGGTATATACCATTGAGGAATCTGGACTAAACATCCTTGTGTGGTCAGTGATTGGAAGTAAAAGAACTGGTTGGATGTATGGACATGTTCCTCTCTCCAGTACTAGTGCATTTAAAGTGGCATTTGAAGCTGATTTGGCTGGAAATGAGGACATCTTTATTGCCCTTGATGACATCATTTTCACCCCAGAATGTGTCTTTGGAGGTAAGTGATTTCCTTAGTAGATGGGATGTGCAAGGATTGTTTTACTATCCACATATAGAAGAACTGGGAATTCCTGATGAATAACATTTGTTTCCAGGTCTAAGACTATTCATACATTGAAGGAAGATCAGTATATGTTGTAGGGGGTAAAGTTTTTCTGTCCATAAGCCTAACCATCAAGTTTTCATGTCCTCTAGGCAACCAGATTACTGTGAGTACAGTCCTTTAAGAGACATAGGGGAAAGTTAGTTTCATTAGAAGAGCATTATTGTCTACTTTCTTTATTTCTAAAGGTTCACAAGACTTACGCAAGGTAAGGATTCTTCTGGTCACCGATCATCTTCCAAAGTGTCTTTTCCATCCATATTAGCTTTTCCCCATTCCCTGGGCTATTTGCCTTCTCCTCACTGTTTCTACAGTACAGTGTAGAATTCTTAGTCAAAACAAGAGTCTTGTCAATAACACATTTTGTAAGAAATCATCCCCTTAACTGAAATCCGAATTTCTGCTATTTATGATGCTTCTGCTTGACTGGCTGTTTATTTTTTATAAAATCTTCAGATTTTCAGTGTTAAATAATAGGGTCATTGTCTTTCTGGCTACTCTATGCCTCATTCAAAATTTTATTTTTACAGGGACGCCTGGGTGGCTCAGTTGGTTAAGCGGCTGCCTTCGGATCAGGTCATGATCCCAGCATCCTGGGATTGAGTCCCACATGGGGCTCCTTGCTCGGCAGGGAACCTGCTTCTCCCTCTGCCTCTGCCTGCCTCTCGGCCTGCTTGTGATCTCTCTCTCTCTTTCTCTCTCTCTCTGACAAATAAATAAAATCTTTAAATTTTTTTTTTTTTTTTATTTTTACAGAGTTATTTAAAAGTTTCTTCTTTTGGGGATGCCTCGCTAACTCAAGTCTGTAGAGCATGTGACTCTTGATCCCAGGGTTATAAGATCAAGGCCCACACTGAGTGTAGAGATTACTTAAAAAAAATTTAAAATTGTTTTTTAAAATTTTCTTCTTTTTAAGACCACACATCTGGGGCACCTTGGGTGGCTCAGTTGGTTGAGCCTCTGCCTTTGGCTTTCCCCCTCTCTCTGCCTGCCTCTCTGCCTCCTTGTTATCTCCCTCTCTCTGTCAAATAAATAAATAAAATCTTAAAAAAAAAAAAAAAAGGCCACACATCTGGGTTCTTATCCTTCCAGTGATTTTTCTCTAGATCCTAAATCCTTGGTAATTTCAGCTTCCAGGTCACTCAGCCCTGTACAATGTTGACCTTTTCAGTTTCAGTTACCTTCATAAATATTCTTCCTTCATAACCAGCTCCCACACTGGATCTTATCATCCTGTCTGAAATTTTAGGGTTGAAAATTTCATCTGATCATCATATCCTCTACTTTCTAATTACTCCTCCAAAACCTGTTTTCAAACATTGTTAATTAGAAAAAAAATGCAATTCTAGATTCTCAGTGCTTCCCGCTTTCTCCCATAAAAGTTTCTTTTTTTTTTTTTTTTTAAGACTTTTATTTATTTATTTGACAGACAGAGATCACAAGTAGGCAGAGAGGCAGGCAGAGAGAGAGGAGGAAGCAGGCTCCCCGCTTGAGCAGAGAGCCTGATGCAGGGCTCAATCCCAGGACCCTGAGATCATGACCTGAGCCGAAAGCAGAGGCTTTAACCTGCTGAGCCACCCAGGCGCCCCAAAACAGTTTCTTTATACTTTTTTTCCCTTAATAATCCTAGATCTAGTGATCTAACATTTCAATTCCATTCTCAATCAGCACTTTGAATTATTTTATGTCCAATTTTTTTTTTAATAACTTTTTTAAAGGATTTTTATTCATTTGAGACAGAGAGAGAGAGAGAGAGCCCTAGGAGGGGGCAGGGAGCAGAGGGAGAAGGAGAAGCAAACTCCCTGCCGGGCAGGGAGCCTGAAGCAGGGCTCAATCCCAAGACCCTGGGATCATGACCTAAGCTGAAGGCAGACACTTAACTAACTGAGCCACCCAGGTGCCCCATGTCCAGATTTTTTAAAAGATAAATTTGGGTTCTAATTATGTGCCAGGCATCTTGCTAAGTACATTACATGTATTAACACATTTATTTATTGGACAAACTCTGTAGGATAAATAAAAATATCCAGGACATGTTCAGTCATACTGGCTTTATTGGTCTTTGAAATTCGGTTACTATAACCATTTGTATTTTCCAAATCTGCTGCTGCTCATGTTCACTGGGACCACTAAATGTTTTGGTTTATCACCTTAGCTGGTGGTCAAGGGTCCTACACACATCTATTTCCCATTCCCTGGCACTGATTTTCTACAATAATCCTCAAATCTCCCAGCTATTCCCTTGAACATCCTTCACTCTGCCAATGTTCTTATATCCCTTGAATAGAGAATAACTCCCTTAAATAACAAACACTCTTAACCTCTTGTTTCTACCTCTAAATGTGACTATATCCACAACCAAACTCTTTTTTGTCACCATTTGTCTCAGGAAAAATCCTCTTTCAAGAGTAAATGTTCTCGGTCATTTCCACTCTTAGTTCCTCCCAGTCACTGTTCCATCAAAGTCTTCCCTGTCCTATATCTTCCATTTCTTTCCTTCCCCTACTTACTCTTAGCTCTTCTCACACAAATGCAAACATACATACGTACATATGTATATATATATACATACATATAAACACGTACATGCATTTATACATCACTTCCCACTAATTTGAGCTCCTCATGAGCAAGAGGAGCCTGTTTATTTCATCTCCAGAGTCTAACACAATGACTAGGAAATTTGGGCTGAAAAGTTACTATTATTCTAAATAATCATAATAATAATGATAACTAGTTGTGTGAACAGAGTTGCTAACATTTGCCTTAGGTTCTTGCCCACTATATTATAGGACAGATTCTGCGTTTGAAGATAGTTAAAAACAAACAAACAAATGAATAAACAGTAAGATCTTTGGCATTAAACCATGTCTTCTTTCTGTAAGTTTCTACAAAAGAGGTGCCTCCAACCAAACCCACATCCAAAATCCAGAATCTTTAGGTATAGTTTTTACAGCAGTGCTTTGTGGTCGATTCAGGCAGATGTTTTTAGAAAATCATCAATTGAACCAGTATTTCTCCAATGGGGGTATCAGGGCCCCCATAGTGACATGCCAGGAAGTATGCTCCATTGGATTCACTTCACGATCTGGGGAGAGAAGTTACATAAAGTGTTACATGACATTTGGAATAAACATGTACTGAGTGCTGAGGAAGTGACAGCTGGACTAAAATTGTGGAGACACGAGTCTAAATCATGACTGTGTCACTAAATAACTGTACAATTCTCAGAAAATCATTGTAACTCCTTAGACCATGTTTCTTCATCAGGGAGCTGAAATAGATGATCTCCTAAGTCCCTTCCAAATCACGCAGGGCTGGGTTTGTACAAGAGGATCAGGAAAGCGGAAGGAATGCATAGAGAGTGATGGAGAAAGGGAGAGAGTCCAGAGAGAAGGAGGCGGGGGGCAGAAAGGGGGTAAGGTAAGGGTAAGGCAGACAGGGGAAAGCAGAGGTGACATTGCAGTTAGAGAAGGTCCTCACTCTTTGGTGTGTTGGTGAACTTGAGCAGGACGGCCCTTCAGCCAGGTTAGTTGGAAATCTACTGTGTACTGTCCTGGATTTGGATTGGAAGAGCACTTACAAGCAGAAGTTGTGTGTGTGTGTGTGTGTGTGTGTGTGTGTGTGTGTGTGTGTGTGTTTTAACCCCTCCATTACCTTAGTCTAAACACACCTCAGGCAGCAGATTCTATAGATTTTGCCTCCCCCACCCCTTTGCTTCCATTTTACTGTTCAAACTCTAGTTCAAGTCATCCTTATTAGTCACCAGAATCTCTGTAATGGCTGCATTACTGATTTATCTAATTTACTTACATGTAGCAAACTACCAAATTCATCTTCTAGGACCTATTATAGAAAAGTAGATCTGGCATCTTTCTTATTCAACACAATAACGATTTTTTTCCCCCCAAGCAACAGAATCTGACTTGGGTTAACTTAAGTAGAAACTAAGTTTGTTGAAAGGATTTTGGATAGTTCCAAAAATTAAATAGAATACTGAGAATCTAACTCAGAAAAACAAGTGGGAAGCAAGTGAGATGAAGTACATCAGAGGGTAAAACTGGCTAATTCCACTGTCTTTGAAAACTTGCTTTGGAAACTGGTCTATCTACTCCCCTGTCATCACTCTGAATGATTTCTAACAGTCCCTGTGTCATTCTGTCAGAATTAAAATTGTTGTTTGGAAGCATACCCTTAACCAAGCCCATGCGTCAGGGTCCCTTAGGTTATCCTCTCATATCTAATCTCCACACCATCCAGGTCTGCGTAATGGCCAGTTCTCTTTTTAATCATAATCAATCTTGAATACTCTGAAGCATATGGACCAAATTATAAAGTTAACCAAGAATAGTAAATTATCTGTCTGGATTCTAACAGAGAGAGGGGAAATAAAAGGGAAACTAATCAAAATACACAAATTCATACAAGTTATAAAGAAGAAGAAAAATGCTTATAGGCTCTCAATTACCTACTAAATAAGTTTCATATCCTTTAGTACAACTCTTGTCTTATCTGTCTCTGTCTATGAAATAATACCTCAAAATAGCACCCCCTCCCTCTATCCAACTATGCCCAGAGTCTTCCACCTCCATGACTTTGGACCCACTACTTCTATGGCTGGGAACGCCCTGCCCTTTACCTCCTCTTGTGTAAATGCTTTTCTACTTTGAAGGGCAGAGCAAAACCGCCTTTTTCATGAATTTATCCTTGATACTTCCCACAGGAAGCCAAACCCTGTTGCAGATTCTCTTAGCTTAAAGTTTACAGCTCTCCTATAATATAGTTTACATGGTGTTTTATGATATTCATGGCTTATTTTCAGTCTTTTTTTTTTGGCCCATGTTAAAAAATCACCATTGTCATTATCTTGTTCTGTGTGTGTGTGTGTGTGTGTG